CAGCACCTAGAGCAGCAGCCTCAATGCTCGGGTCAGACGGAACACACAGGTAACAGTCACCCTCATCACTAGTAGACACAGCATACATGGCAGCAAGAATAGCATCATAGTCAAGATCAAAGATAGAAACCCCCGCCCTAGACAGCTCTCCCCAGCGAGGGATCTCAAAGGCGTCAGGGAACTGATGACGCCAAGCGTCCGTCAGGCGGCCGAAGCAGCGCTGGGTGGAGTGCGTGCCCCCGCACTGCTCACTAGCGCGGTCGCCTGTACGGAGGACGTAGGTGCAGGGACCAGTACCCCCACCCCGCTAACGCCCAGCGTACTACTCACGAAGCTGCTGAGGGGATAGGGTCTCACGACTGCGCTGCTGCTGCTGGCTCGGACCACCACCGGAGCCACTCCTCTGCGCAGAGCCGCGACCAGCTCCACCGCTGCCTCCGCCGCCTCCGCCACCTCCACCGCCTCCGCCACCTCCGCCGCCTCCGCTCCCTCCGCCAACACCGCCGCCTCCTCCGCCTCCACTGCTGCCACCGACACCTCCGCCCCCGCCACCACTCCCACCACCACCCCCACCCCCTCCACTGCCTCCACCACCACCTCCACCGCCCCCAACAGCCCCTCCAACGCCCTTGCCCCCTTTGCCCTTGCCGGTGCGGCGTTTCCCACTAGGGGCAGACGCAGCGCCGACCGACTCTAAGCCAACGAGGTCGGCCGCAGCAGCAGAAGCAATAGAGTGCAAGAGGGGGGAGGGAGAACACCCCTCAAAGACGGGGGTGCGAGGGTCACCACGAGAGGCTCCTACAGCGACTATGCTCTTCTCTGCTGCTAGGAGGCGCTCCTCGAGGAGGTCAACGGTGAGTGTGGTGGGGCAAACTGAGAGGAAGTGGTCCCTGACTAAGCGAAGGGAGTAAGGGAGCCGGGTGACTATGTAGTAGAGGGCGATGTACATGGGGGGGGGGCGGGGGGGGTTCTTGGCACAGAACTCAGCAGGAAGTGCAGCGCGGTAGCGAGTGTCACTAGTGCGAAGGTGCGTAATGAGGTCAGCGACTGTGGGAAAGGCAGCAAGGTTAGGGAACAGGTACGGTAGCATGAGGCGGCTAAGCGCAGTTGTGGCAAGGGAAGAGTAGCGTGCAACTACAGCATCGTACAAGGTCTTAGCACTCTTGTACTGGCTAAAGTGCGCACGCTCAGTGGTCGGTTAAGTGGCGACGCACAGCAAGACGTGCAGCAGCATCGCGCGTGGCCCACTGTGAGCGAACAGTGCTGTCAGCAGTAGCAGGCGGGGCAGGAGAGACACCTGAGGTGAGATCGAACAGAGAGAGTCCGTCTGCCCTATCGCACTGTAAGAACAGCTGGAGGTCATCGACCCAGACCTCAAAGTCAATAGCACGACCCTCAGTATCAAAGGTAAGGACACTGGGGGTAGCCATGACTGCAGTGGCCTAGCAAGGAGTGAGCTCACCAGTCCAAGGGAGTAGGGCTGGGGCGCGCCGGTAGGAACAGTAGCGGCTCGACGGCAGAGCGGCTCGGCGGCTCGGCTGCTGGGCGGCACGGTGGCTCGGCGGCTCGGTGGCTGGGCGGCTCGGCGGCTCGGCTTTTGGCCGGCTCGGCGGCTCGGTCGCCGGGCGGCGCTGCCGCTCGACGGCTCGGCTGCTTGGCGGCTTGGCGGCTCGGCTGTCGGGCGCCTCGGCTGCTGGGCGGCTGGCGGCGTGGTGGCTCGACTGCTCAGCTGCTGGGCTGCTCAGCGGTGAAGGGGCCGGTAGAGGCGGCGACGGGGCTGCGAAGAGCGGCGACGGGGCCGCTAGGGGCGGCGACGGGGCCGCTAGGGTCGGCGACTGGGCGGTTAGGGTCGGCGACGGGGCCGCTAAGGGCGGCGAGGTGGCCGCGAAGGACGGCGACGGGGCCTCCAGGGGCGGCGACGGGGCCGCTAGGGGCGGCGACGTGGTCGCAGAGGGGCCGTAAGGGGCCTAGAGGGGGCGGCGACGGGGCCGCAAGGGCCGGTGACGGGGCCGCGAAGGGGCCGCGAGGGGCCTGGAGGGGCGGCGACGGGGCCTAGAGAGGCGGCGACGAGGCCGCGAAGGGGCCGCGAGGGGCCTAGAGGGGCAGCGACGGGGCCGCGAAGGGGCCGCGAGGGGCCTAGAAGGGCGGCGACGGGGCCGCTAGGGGCGGCAACGGGGCCGCAAAGGGGCCGCGACGGGCCTAGAGGGGCGGCGACGGGGCCTAGAGCGGCGACGACGGGGCCGTGAGAGGTGCCGTGAGGGGCCGCGAAAGGGGCCACGAGGGGCCTGAGGAGGGCGCGACGGGCCACTAAGTGCTAGGGACGCGACGGGAGGGAGGGCACACGGGGCGCGACTCGGGGCAGGAGGGAAGCGCGCTCCGGGCAGGACATTTTTTTTTTTTTCAGTGGTGGGCCCTAGGAAACGTTCCCACTAGGGAACCTGCTCTAATACCATGTGAAGAAATGAGGAATGATTGCATTGAGCAGCATGAGGAGTACAAGTAGGAAACCCTGAAGTGTTGTACCCCATATGAGCTACCCCACTACAGCCTACACAGACTATAACATATCAGTCTGACATGGTTCTGTAACAACGCACCACCGTGCGCGATTCCGGCCTAGGCGGTTGTATGAACCCTCACCACGCAATTGGCTTTGTTTTCACCCTATCAAGTGCCAGAATTGCCCACTAGAATTTGCCACGTGGCAGATTCCAGTGGGCAGTCATATTATCCTCGTATACTCGGTTTTGCGGCACTGATTAACAATCTTGAAGTGAAGTCAGACCCCCTGATTTTGTTTCACATATTTTCTGTTGATAAAGAATATACCAAATAATAATACCCGGGTATTATGCAGGATTTTACTTTGAGGAGACCCCCCCCCATTTTTTCCCAATGGTTTTCATAATACCCTAGGGTGTTTTATCTGGGAGATTACGGTAACAGAAGCTTCACTTTGAAAGTTCAAAGGGGGTCTCGATTCTCTTACACAAGAACAAAATTACACAAAGAACATAGAAACAAATAATTGTCTGAAATTGCAGACACTAGGGTTTTTTCTGTCAGGAAAATATCACTGAAAAAACAAATCTGTTCCGCATCTACTCGAAGCACAAAACCGTAATTCGATATTTAGACTGGCTTTAAAACTAATGTCCTCCCTGTCCTCATCGCCGCCCCGTGACGTACCAGTCAGGGCCTCAGATATCAGGAAAAAAACCCTGAAATTCCTGATTTTGGCAGTCGTTTTTTTACCTACACTGGAAAATCAGTGTTGGGATTTTTGTGGGAGTGATCTTTTAGCCTTTTTTGTTAGGCCACACTGAAATTTCAGACTTTTTTTCCCAAGTACACTGATTCCACAACGTTGTAATGAAACTACCACTGAATGCAATTCTGACTTGTTCCGTGTGAATTTGCCCGCAATTACCGGGAATCTCAGATTCCTGCGGTGCCAGCACTCCATTGGGCAGTTTCGCTGCAGCATAAGCGTTGGCTAATCAGAATGTGGCAACCATGTGGTGCTGGAGGGCTGCGAGGGTTCCTGCACCGTTGACTGTGCTGGCGAGCTCTGATGGTCCCGTTCCCTCCAATCTAATCTCTCTTGTTTCTTTTCCTCCTGTTTCTCTCTCCCTCCCTCTCAGCCAGATTCCTCTCGTGCTTTCTCGTCTGCACTATTACATGGCGCCACCAGCACCAGAAACGGCGAGCTGTCTGGAATCGAACCCATCGCGAGCGCCGCCGAACCTCCTCTAGTCTCGCCGAACACATCGCTCCCGTTCTACGCGATCCGCAGCGCATGCGTCGTCGAATCGTAGCGGGCCTGCGAGATGCCCGTCGGCGTCGCAGGCCCGCTACGACTCGACGACGCGTGGTTTTTCGTGCTAATGGCGACGACCGAAGGCTGCCTCGTCGCCAGCACGAACCGCGGTTGAAAGGCCATCTGCGTCGCGGGCGGCGCGCATAGCGTCGTGCTGCGTGACGGCATGACCCGCGCATGACCCGCGCGCCCACCGTCCATTCCCCCGCTCCCTTTACCCCGCACTCCGTCCACTCCCTGTCTCCCCCGGTCGTTCCCCCCCCAACCATGCCAGTCTTCCCTCCTCTCTCCCTCCTGTTCTCTCTTTCCCTGCCTCACCCTGCCTGTCAATCAGATTCCTCCCCCAAACCCTGCCCCTGCAGCTTCAACGTGTATGTGTCGCAAGCAGAAGTGAAGACGGGGTGTGTGCTGCAGCAGAGCACTGTCACGAACTGGTGTCCCAAGCTGAGGATGAGAGAGAAAAACCAAAGGCTAAGGGCAGTGATGATAGCACGGCTGGTGATGATTCATGAGGCATGTTAGCTTAGCAATGTTTCGGAAGGCCGCTACTGACCTATTAATTAAAATAGAGATTTCTAGTAATAACAGCCTTTTATATTATTGAACACTGATGCATCAGCCTTTTTTCAAAGGCAACACTGATATTTCAGGCTTTTTTTTTTAGGAACACTGTCAATCAGGGTTTCTACATAGGGGTACCCTGATGGGTCGACGACCCTAAAAGTGAATCTGAGGCCCTGGTACCAGTCAAAAGATTATGTTCTGCTTGACACCCACAACATACGCCTACGCCTCATGCTGAAACTTCGCCCGTGCAACTGTGGCCCATTTTAGCCATCACGCCCGTCACAACCCACCTCTCGCTACACACCGACGGGTACATCAGCCCGTCATTCCACGTCAGCCTCCTTCGACCTTACATCCCGACCACACGCCAACCGTCGCGCTATCACCCACCCTCGGTGACGTGTCATGAATTAGAGCCTCGCCGATCCCGAGAAAATTCTGAGCCATCGGATTTGCCACCCCCAGGGATCTCGGCGGACTGAATTCCTCGTCCGCAAGACGGATCGCACTCCCCATTGAAGTATCGCATGAGTGTGTTCCGTGCCAGAATTGGCAACAACTCCCGTGCTGAAACAAGTCAATTATTGCAGTTGCAACACTTGCAGACTTGCAGTCATTGGCTGTGCTGGTCTGTAACAAGAGCAGAAAGAAAAAGGAGGGACAAATGAGAGCAACAGCAAAAAATCGGATTTAGTCGTGAGAGGTCGCTCGACGTTGTGAGCCGTCGCTACAACCCCGTTTTTGGTTGAATGCAGTTCAGCATGATGCGCGTGATGTGAGATTCTTGAAACTAGCCAGGCTTGTGTCCCCATTCCCGGAGCAACGGAGCTGGCACGGCAGCATGCATGCACACTCAGTGCAACTGCGCAGTCTCACCTTTAGCTGGTCCTGAGAGGAGTCGTGTGAAGGGGATGTATGCGGAGGGGAAATGAGAGGCGGAGGCGCGGCAGTGCGGGGCGAGCTTGAGGGCGATGTAGGCGAGGGCGAGCAGCACTATCACGGCTGCTATGTCGTTGGGCAGGTAGCCTTGGGGGGAGGGCAGGAGGGGAGGTGGGGAGACACGGAGAGAGTGGGGTAGGCAAGGGCGAGATGTACAATATGGCTGCAATGCTGCTTGGTAGGTAGCTTGGCGACGGAAGAGGTAAGGGATGAAGGGCGGCTGCAAGAGACATGGGTGCGACGTGTGAGTGCATGATAATGGTCCCACTGCTGCCTGGCAGCAAAAAGCATGACGGCAGGCGGAGTAAGGCAGGGGAGAGGGTGGGAAATGGAGCCACCGTTAGGCACACCCCTTCCAGCACAAACCCCTCCAGACAAACACCCCTTTGAGTCCATGGCTCATTAGGCGCCTGTGGTGTGGTAAACACAACCGTCCTCCAAACGATGGTGATGCTGACCTGACGTGGGATGTGCATGTGCATGTGGATGTGCATGTGCATGTGCATGTGGATTTGCATGTGGATGTGCATGTCCAAGTGCATGTGGCGTGCATGCACAGCAAGGCAGTGCTCACCGCGGGGCACGTGGCCGGCAGGGGGCGTCCTCACAATCTCCACCACCTCCACGCCCGCCAGCAGAGGCGGCCTCTTGGACCCGCGCATGGGGGTGAGCAGCAGCGCCAGGTCGGGGCCGTACTGCTCGGCGTAGCGCGTGAAGTTGAAGCACACCGGCACCACCACAGCGCGGTCGTGGGACCCGTTGGCCGCCACCAGGATGTCAAAGCCTGTCCGGCTCCAGTCCCGGGCGAACAGCGGGTTGCTCCGATCAAACACATCCTCCCCCTCCTCCTCCATCTGCTCTTCCGCCTGCTTCTCATGCTGCCCCTCCCGGTGCCCCACCACCTGCGGTTGCTTGGACCGCAGCAGCTGCAGGCGCTCCTGCTTCCACGGGCGTGGCTGCGGGCCAAAGAGGAAGTCATGGAGGCGGAAGTCGAGGAAGGAGCGGTACCAGTTGACGGGCGTGCCCACGCCGCCACCCGTGTCGAACTCACCGCTCTCACTGATGCTCTTGAGGGCGTCCAGCACCACGTTGCCATGCACCACCGGCTGCCGCCCGTCCAGCCCCGTGTGGGCTATGTGCTCCACTCCCACCCTCCTCCTCCTCTCCTCTGCTCTCTCGCCTTTCCTCCTCCGTGCCTTGAACGAGTGCTGCTTCGACTCCTGACTCTCACGCCCCGCATTCGCCCTTGTACGACCTTCTCTAGCTCCTTCCCAATGCTGCAGAAGCTTTCTCCTCCCACTACCGTCATCCTCCTCTCTCTCCTTCTCAGTGTCCATCATGTGCCCTCCCTTACCTTCCTCCACTCCTTCGCCCTCCACACCACTTTCCCTGTCCATGCGAGAGCTCAGCCGTTGAAGCCTTTCCCCGCGCCCCTGCCATCTCACCGCGCCTCCACCCCCCTGCGAGGACTCCCGGCCCGCCTCCACCCTCGTTGCTCTGATCCCTTCCGTGGCGCCGCCTCTGCTTGCTGCCTTGCCCTCATCATCCTCACTCCCTGCTTTCTCCTCCTCCCCCTCTTCTCTCTCTTCCACCCTTCTCACTCCCTCCTTTCTCGAATCTCCTCTCCCCCTCTCCCCTTTCCCTTCCCCCACCGTCTCCTTCCACTTCCACTCACCCCCTGCCTCCTCGTCTTCCCCCTCCCCCTCCCCCTCCCCCTCCCCCTGCCCCCGCCGCACGCCCAGCACGCTCATGGCGCCGAGGCGGATGTCGAAGCGCCGGTCACCGGGGCGCACGAGGGGGTCGAGCTCAGCGAAGAAGGGGCGCAGGCAGAGCACGTCCAGCAGATTCACCGGATCCACTCGCACTGCGAACCCCACCGACCCCACGCACGTCTCTGACCCCCCACTGCTGCCACCTCTGGTGCTGTTGGCCCAGCACACCAGCCCTCCTCCTCTCCTGCCCCCCCACTCAGGCTGCCCGCCCCCACTTTCCGCTCTCCCATCGCCTGCCCGCTCCTCCAATGCTCCCTCCCACGCTGACTGGAACACCGTGGAAGGAATGTAGTCCGGTGCCACGTCAGCACCAGCAATGTGACTGGAGGTGGTTACCACTTTAAACGGATGTCCACGGGTAACCCAATGGTTGCCATCCGTCAGTGTTGCATTCGACCCAACGCTGCTGCTGCTGCTGCCACCACTGGCATCACTACCAGCATCCGACGGCACAGCCATGCTACCAGGCACGGCGCCCCATGCGGGAGCTAAGTCGCGCCCCCACATCCTGTACGCCGTGTCCTCCTGCGCCCATCCCCCCTCACCCATTCCACCCTCGTGCTCCTTCCCCTCCACCTCCTCCAGCAACCCCCTCCCCCCTTCGTTCAATTCAGCTGCCCGCCCCACCTCTCCTTTCCCTCCATCCACCCCTCCCTCATTCGCTGTTTCAGCCTCTTCACCTTCCAGCTCCGCCACCCTCCCCACTGTCCCTCCCACTGCGCTCCCCGCTCCCATCCTGCCTTCCTGCACCCAAGGGACCCCGCCCCCTGCCCAGCCTTCTGGCCCACCACCCACCATCCGTGTGGCGCCCAGGTTGTGGCGCAGCAGCGGCACCACCACCACGTCCCTGCCAGTCACCGCCGCATCGTACGCGAGGGCGTGAACGGGCAGCAGCTCGAGCGAGTTCACCTGGGGGGGCGCCGCCACCACGCCCAGCAGCGGCAGCACGCACACAGAGATGCGCCCCTGGCGGGCGAAGGCGACGAACTCGGAGTAGAAGGCGGAGAGCGGGTACTGCTGCTCCGTGGCGGCCATGACGACTGTCTTGAGGATGAGCCCGTTGACGGCCATGTGGAAGGCGGGCGGGCGGTGCGCGCCATCGTAGTTGCGGTAGGCCACGCCCACGCGCACCAGGTAGCGCGCGTCACGGGGGAGAGGGACGGTGTAGCAGCCGCCGTTGCTGTTCACGTCGGGGAAGGCGCGCAGGGTGGCCTCCACGGGCGAGGCGAGGCGAGGGGAGGAGAGGGGAGGGGTGGGGGGGATGCGGAAGGGCCTCCCCCCGTCGTAGAAGGCATCGGCGCGCCACTGGTGGCCGTTGATAGTCAGCGCCTCGCTGCTGCCGCAGTTGATGCGCACCGCGCCTGCTTGGAGGGGGAGCGGCGAGGGGGGGATGTGGTGGGGGCGGCGGGGGATCGCGGATGAGAGCGGGGTAAAGGAGGAGGGTGAAAAGAGGAGTGGCAGGGCGGGAGGGGCCGCAGAGCGAGGGGAAGCAGAAGGAATGCCGAGGCTTGTGCGAGGCAGGGTGGGCGCGAGGGCGAGGGCGAGGGCGAGCACAGACGGCGCAAGCGACGCGCGGAGAGATGAGGAGGGGCCTCACACCTGAGAGGGGCTCGAGAGGCTTGATACGAAAGGCGGCGGCGGAGCTGATGAGATGCGCGGCGACCAACAGCAGCGCGACAGCTGGCGCGACCGCGAGGTTCCTGACATCGTGGGCCATTCGCTCGCCGTGTCGCGAGGAACGCGGCGGCGAAACGCGACGACGCTGTGAACAGAAGGCAGTAAAAACAGTATCGAAATTACTAAGTTGGAGATAAAAACAAGCAGCGTCGACAGCAGATTAAAAGATTCGCGAAGCATGGCGAAGGTGTGAGAAACCTCGGCATGCTCTCGACGACGCTAGAACCAGAAAGCGGCATGCTCGGGCATCGAGCAGATGGCCTAGCATAGCACAGCTGAGCAATGCGAAAGCAGCCTGATTTTGCGAACGGGCGTGTTATAGGGTAGAGTGTTATGAATGAACTTGCAGAGTGCACAGTCAAATGAATAACGACAATGATTGATTACTAAATAACGATACAATGAAAGTGGCACGACTAAATAGGGGAAAAGCTAGCTAGGCGGGAAGTTCAGGAAGGGATGACGTGATGGTTGCGATTGGTGCGGAGGCGACTCGGGAGTGGTTCGGTGCGACGAAAATAGGCCGAACAGGTTCGTCGCGTGACCCTCGGGATGGCCTCGCTAACGAGTGCCTCAGTGAGGATTTGTAAATCCTTACACTCTCCCACCTTCTAAATAAGGCAGTCATGTACTGAAACAAGCCCCTCACTAGCAAGGATGCCGGAGATCTCCTGCTAACGCAAATTTCAATCTCGATGGAGCGGGGACCATGGATTTCGTTGGCGGGATCGCAGTCGTCAGTCGTGCTGACGCATGCTCACAAAGTCGAAAAGAGGGCCGAGAATACGCCAAGGAAAACAGTGTCAAGATCTTAGGGCAAGAATGCGTTGATTAGGTCAAGGTTGGGGTACAAAACTAGAGTGTCGAGATGATTTGTATACCCCCTAAGACTAGCCCCAATATAGCTTAGATACTAACATGCATATGTTTTGACACACCCCCATAGGAGAAATGGGGGATAGCCAGAGCAAGCAATGGTCACAAGACCACTCAAGAGAAGAAACAAAACACAGCTCAGGGTGGATCACAACGTCAGCACACACACTGAGCACAAGCAAGAGGCCACATGGCCAGTTCACATGCAGAGGTATAAAAGCACAAGCAATACAGTGATCACAACATAGCAGGTGTAAGCATGCAGGTATATATATAGATCACAGTACAAGCAAGTGAAGAAGTAAGCAAGTGAGGAAACGTAGGCACTAGGCCTAGAGAAGTACAGAAGCGCTGATGGTCACCAGACGGAAGAGCCTTGGTAAACACATCAGCAGTGTTGGCCCGGGTGGCCACGTAAGCAAGACGAAGCTGACCACGCTGCTGCAACTCTCGAGCAAGGAAGTAACGCAGAGCGATGTGCTTCGTTCTGTGCTCCAGTTTGTGCTCCTAACACAAGGTAATAGCAGCATTGTTGTTGACGTACATAACTCGAGGAGAACGAGGCCTCTCTCCCAAGTCGGTCAGCAGGTAGGTGAGCCAGCGTAACTCGTGTGCAGCCATGGCTATGGCGTAGATCTCAGCCTCACAACTGGAGCTGAGAACAGAAGACGAGCGTGTAGACCGCCAAGAAACAAAGCCAGCGCCAAGGCTGAACGTGTAACCCTGTGACGACCGCTGTGTAGCCAGGTCGTCAACCTAAGAAGCGTCTGAGTGTCCAGTGAGGACAACGTCACCCCGTCCTCCAAGCACGAGCCCCATGCCAAATGTACTGCACAAGTAGTGTAACACCCTCTTAGCAGCCTCCCAGTGCTCTTGCCGGTGTCTCCCGGACGCAACGTAGCGAGCTAGGATGCTAAGAGGGTACGCAAGGTCAGGTCGAGTGCAGGTCATCAGGTACATGAGGCAACCCACAAGCTCTGGATACGGGCCACTCGGCTCTACGGACTCATCCGAAGGCAGATGTGAGAGGACGTCCCCGTTATAATATTTTCTCACTATTATATTTTTCCGTTATCCTATTCTCCCTTTTCTCCTCTTTATTTTGGTCTTTATCTCATCTCAATCGGCCTACTATTCTATTTTCTAGAGCCTTCTATTTATTTCTCTTATTTCCTACTTTTCCCACCGACATACCTATTATACGGCACCGACAGCGCCGACAGTGGTGTATACGGTGTAATCTGGGCGTAATCCCAAGTGCCAATAGACTTGCGTGCTTATGCGCACTTGTGATTGTAGTATCGGGAAGGGTGTGTTCCCGAAGGTTCGTTTTATCTCGTTTATCCTTGTACTTTCCGAGTATAAATAGGCCTTGTATTCAGTTTTAGTGACAAGTTTCGATTGAGAATTCGATCCTGTGACACTTGGTAATCAGAGCCGTTCTCACTCGACAACTCTCGGCTAAGCAGCGGTCGCGGAAAAAATCGCCTCGAAAAACCGCCGGGGGCGACCAATTCGACGCCGATTTCTGGTAAGTACCAGTTCCGCGCTTTTCGAATTAACCCCCTCGCGTGGTTTTTGAACAGGATGGGTTCGCCGGCGACCAACGACGTTACGCAGCAGCTCTTCGCGCAAATCGCCAAGATGGAAGCGGAGATGCGAGCGACGACTGAACGGTCGCGATTGGAGAACGAGCAGATGCGAAACGAACTGCAGCGCGTTACGCGGCTCCTCTCGACCATGAACATTCCTGCTTCGACGACTTCGCAGCAGTCGCAGCGTCAGTTCGAGGTTCCGAAACTTAGCTCGCCGGAATCGTTCGACCCTAGCGATCGAAAATCCGACGTCAGGCGGTGGCTCGCGACGATGGAAATTTATTTCGTGGCGATCGGATGGACGACGACGGAGTACGACGGCGAGAAAATTCGTCTCGCGACAACGTTGATGCGCCGTCCAGCTCTCGAGTGGCTCGGAAGCAACAGTAACATTTTCCAGGGCGAAGCCACGTGGCAGCAGTTCCGGGCAGACCTTCTCAAACGTTTTGAGCCGATTAATTCCACTTATATTGCGCGCGAAAAATTACATCACCATAGGCAATACGGGAGTATCGCGCAATACACGCAGCAGATGGAGGAATTTTATAATCGCATTCCCGACATTACCGAGGGCGAAAAAATTCAGTCCTACATCGCGGGGCTGAAAATCGACATTCGGCGCCAGGTTGCAGCAGCGAATTGCAGCAGCTACAGCGAAATCGTATCGGCCGCGGAGCGTTTTGACTTGGTCAACTCCGGGACACGACGACCCCACGTCGTCGGATCACGACAAGGGGATCGCTCGGCTTCAACCACGTTCGCCGACCCCATGGAAGTCGACAAATTCGACGCGAGTTCACGTCCTGCAAAAAACAAAACACTTTGCGAATTTTGCGGCGGAAACGAACATCGCATTGTCGACTGTTTTCACATGAAATCAGCACGTGCGGCATTCCGAGCTCGTGGGAGTGGCGAAACTAAAGACAAAAAGTCAAAAAACGGATCTCGCCAGTGATTGCGGATCGTGCTGGCGAGAAAAAACAGATCCGAAAGCGTCAGCGCAATCTGGACCGAATCGAAATTGAAGGACAGCATTGGGCGCGAGATTTGGAGAATCAAGGGCGAAATCCCAAGCCCCTTGACCGAAATTTGTCAGAGGAATTCGCCGAGGAAAAGAATGTCGAAATATTTTGTCATGATTTATAATTGCTTGTAGTTGTAGTTAGTGTAGTTATGTAAACTTTTGTTGGTGGTGCACCTTATTGTGTTTCTATGCTATATGTACCCCTGAACCTATAGTGAAACGCACCTTTTCACCAATTTCTCTCAACTCACTCGATACATCGCTCCTAGGGAAAATCCCGCTCGATACCTAAGTTCGGGCCTAGGCTACTAAGCCTAGGCCCCACCTCTTAACTTACCTATTACTCTTGACATGTTATCGGAGCTTAGTGTTCGTCCTGGCCTGTGGGCCCGCTTTACTTCCGCTGCTAAGATTTTACGGTCGCGCGCCTAGGGCGCGTGACGGTTTTATTTTTACCTTGTCCCGCCCACGGGCGTGTGACTCCTTCCCTGCCCGTCGCGCGCCCCGTGGCACGCGACGGTGCCCTTCTACTGCCCATCGTGCGCCCCGTGGCACACGATGGTGCCCTGCTCGTCGTGTGCCCCGAGGCACACGATCGGGCCCTTTTATTCTACCCGTCGTGCGCCCCGTGGCACTGGCCCGCGACGGGCCTTTCCGCCCCTGCACTCCCTGCTGCCGCCCCTGACCCATCTGCACCGACGCCTCTTCGCCGCTCTGCGGCTTTCTTCCTTCCCACCCCCCCCTTTTGTCAGAGTTTGAAGGAAGAAAGAGGATTGAACTAGCAAGAATGAGGATACAAATAGCAAACCCTAGAAGGGTTGTACTCGCTATAGAGCACCCCACTACAGGCTAGAACAATAAGATAATATTCTGACACACCCCCATAGCCAAAGTGGGGTGTAATCAGCAGAGCAGGCAAAGCAAAACAAGCTCAGGGTGGATCACAATGTCACCACACATTCTGAGCACAAGTTCAAGAAGAAATAGTTTAGAGTTCACAATTATAAGCAAAGCTAGTGGTAGTCACAACGGGCAAGTGAGGAGGAGGAGGGAGAGTGAGGGGAGAGGAGACAGGAGGCGACGGCTGAAGCTGCAGACACACGGGCAACAGGAGGCAGACTGGCACAGCGGCTACCGGACAGCGCCCGGACTACAGGAGTAACAGGCCCCGCGGCTCAAATAGCGGCGGACGGGCAACGGACCCACGGGCGGCTGGCACAGCTGGCTACGACTGGGCTACCGGGACAGCGCCCCGGACTACAGGTGCTGCTGACGACAAACTGGCAACCTCCGCTCATCCTCCCGCACACAGTCCCACCCCCCTGATACACACCCACTGCTACACCACTAGCTCTACTCCCACGCACCCCCCTTAAACCCTAAACCCAGTCTCCCACACAACCACCCCCCTCAGCGACAGCTGCAGCAGTGGGAGACGAAGGAGGAGGAGGAGAAAGGGAGGAAGGCACACCAGCCACCCCCATACCCGCCACCCCACAGCAAGCGGCCCCCTCAGGTCGCCACGACGGACGACGGGAAATGGGG